TTTATTTATTTATTTTCAGATTTACTGCCAGCCTTTAAAAAAGGCCTTTGGCAGGAGCGGGCAGAACAAATAAAAGAATGCGAGAACATACGCAAATACGTCCACAAAACAACCGCAACAATGAGCGGGAACAAAATAAAAACAAAAAAATATACAATTACGCAATCAACAAAGTGACAGCAGGTACTTTTAACAACTTGTTTGGTACCAAGCCAGACCTACACTGATAAAAACTATTAATAATATACAAGACATGACTGGAAAGAGCAGGAGAAATCTGGACCGAGGTGCACCGCTAAACAAAACAGAGCTACAATGTGACACACGCAACATCAACAACAAAAAAAGAAAAAAAAAAACATCAGAACAACATTATTGTTTCACAATCACATATCAGTTTGCAGAAGTCGCAATACTAGGAAAGCGGAGTGACGACCAAGATACCGAAAAAATTACAGATAATCTGACAATGCTTTAGCAAAAGAATTTAGTGTAGTACAATCAATTACATTGGATGGAAGTCGATTCCATTCACGCGTTGTTCTCGGAAAAAAGGAGTTTTTGAATGTGTCTGTTTTACAGCTAAAATCCTTTATCTTTTTCGTGTGGTGTGATCGCGTCGAGCGCTTACCAACCAGGTCGATAAAATTACTCTTGTCTATTGCCAGCTTATCATGATAAAGGGAGTACAAAAACTTGAGCCGTTCAAGCTGACGTCTCTTTTGCAATGTATCCAGCTCTGATTCTTCCAAGATTGAAGTTACAGATACTTGCCAGCGATAGCAATTATGAACAAACCTGATGCCCTTCCTTTGAACGAGTTCTAGTTTATCAATGTTGTTTTTTGTGTACGGATCCCATATAACTGATGCATATTCGAGGGAGGGCCTAATGAAAGTTTTGTAAGCCAGTAACTTTATTTCCTTGGTTGATTTTCGCAATGACCTTCGAAGGTATCCAAGTTTACGCATGGCTTTATTTGTAATATACGAAATATGTTCATTCCATCTAAGGTCCGAGGTAATAATTACGCCTAAATATTTGTACCTTTCTACAACGGAAAGAGTGTGATTATCTATGGAATATGGAAAGCTTAGGGGATGCTGTTTACGCGTTATTGACATGGCTACCGTTTTAGCCTTGTTAACACTCATTTGCCACGTTGAACACCAAGTTTGTATTTTCGCTAAAGAAGAATTCAAAAGAACTTGGTCGCAGCGGCTTTGAACTTCATGATAGAGGATGCAGTCATCTGCGAATAGTCTAATTTTTACTGGTATATCCTGTACTATGTCATTAATGAACACAAGAAAGAAAAGTGGCCCAAGCACCGAACCTTGAGGTATACCGGATATAACTGTCTCTGCTGGAGAGCACGTACCATCAATTGTTACACATTGTCGTCTTAAATTTAAGTAATTTTTTATCCATGACAGAAGTGTATCGTTCTTCAGTATGGGTTGAAGTTTTAAGAGCAGCTTTTGGTGCGACACGCGATCGTACGCTTTTTCAAAATCTAGAAAAATAATATCTGTTTGACCTTGCCTGTCAAGGGTTTTGGCGAGTTCATGTACTGTTTCTAATAGCTGTGTTACGGTAGATAGACCTTTTTGTGTTACGGTAGATATGACCTGAACTGAAGGCGGTGCAACCGAAAGTAAGGGCGTTACCTATAGCCCTAAAATGTCTTGTTTTAATCCGTCACTATACAGTTCGCTCGGCAATAAAGCGTCGGCACGTGCACACTTCGACAGTTTTTCTCACGGTATGCATGGATGAGTGCATGCAGTCGTAACAACCAGCCTGGTTTCGCGGCGTACGTTCGGTTGTGATGGACGGGAACGGCGTATTGACGCACCGATATGAGGACAATGTGACTCGCAGACAAGCTGAGACTCCATGATGTTTTACCCCTGAAATTGGTAATTTCGTTTTCACGCGCTATAGATAAGCCGACAGTGTTCCTTGTCGTAATGCAAAAATGTAGTATAACGTTAAAGAACCCCAGGTGGTCGAAATTTCCGGAGCTCTCCACTACGGCGTCTCTCATGATCAAATGGTGGTTTTCGGACGTTAAACCCCACATATCAATCAATCAATCAATCAATCAATCAATCAATCAATCAATCAATCAATCAATCAATCAATCAATCAAAATGTAGTATAGCCACCTCTCGTTTTAGTCCTTGGAATGTCCGCTGTGTGGCGGTACTTGCATATGATGAATATATCATGAAACGATGCGAGATGGCTGTACTTGGAGTGTTCACTAGACGGACGGACGGACGGACGGACGGACGGACGGACAGACAGACAGACAGACAGACGCGGACACGGAGGATGATTCATGGTTTGCCGACGAAACCCTTCGAAGCTTCGCCCCACCAGCGCCTTCTTATAGAGGAGGCTGGCCCCACTCATCATCATTAACTTAGTAAATATGCTGTCACTTTTATCCCTCGCCTGTCACCAAGTAAATTTGGAACAAAAGGTATTTGGAGCAAATCTTATGTTTTCGGTGGTTTGTTATCACTTGAAAAAAAAAAAAAAAGCTGATATCGGTGCTGGTCAACAACGACGAATGTGCGTGCCATAGGGCACAATGTCAGCTGCCTTGCTGATTTTTCTGCTTCCTATATAGGAAAACGCGTGATATCACGCGTTTACCATTTGAGGTCGCCCCTGCGGAAGAGTTGTGTAGTCGTACAGTGGCTTACTCTCATGCCTAAAATGAGTGTCAGGCTCTGAGCCGCACGAGTGACATCTGCTGTTCGAAACCAGCCACATCTGAGAATTGGCGGCGCCATTGACATTCCTGCTTTGCAGTTTGTGTCCTATAGTTTGTTGCCACGGCCGCAATACTTGTTTTTGGCAGTGAGAAGCGCTGTAAATCTTATAGCGCCGGGAAAAAAAATGCCATGCCCGGATAGGAGCCCTTTATACTACGAATTAACTTATTCTCTGTTCGTGATATATCATACCGAGAATGGTTCGTGTCCTCTTTTTTTTTTTTTGCTTTTCCTGCTAACCGGCAGAACCGCTCTCGATGGCCGAAACGGTTGTTGCATCCGCGGTAATAAACGAGGATCGAAAATGCAAGGAAGGTGCATTGTTGGTGCCAAGCACGCTCAGAGGCCGCGTATTTACGGTTGCGGATTTCGCTCGTGCAGGTCCGAGCACGAAGCTCTGTCGTTCTAGACATGACAGTGGACCGCAGTACAACGCAACGTACCCTACTTCAATTTCTGTTGCACGGCAGCCTCCGCTGCGCTTTACAACCCTGGCTCATGTTAAATTGAACAATTTCGCCACTGCTCACAGAACAGCGTTGACGAAGCACTCCAGACTTGGTTTCAGATGGACGTGATTTTGTGCAACTGCAGCAAGTGTTGCCAAGTTAAAGATATATACACTGAGCTTCTGGAACACATCTATGTCCATTTCTAATTTTAAAGCGTAGTGCTGTGGGCTATAAGCACTGATTGTGATCTAATAGAAGCTCAATTAACAACGCCCGCAGGCATTTTATATTCTCGGGTCACTGTATAGCAGAATCAAGGTATGATTTGATATGTGGGGTTTAACGACCCAAAACCACCCTAAGATTATGAGAGACGCCGCAGTGGAGGGCTCCACGAATTTCGACCGCCTGGGGTTCATTAACGCGCACCCAAATTTGAGCTCATGGGCCCACAGCATTTTCGCCTCCATATAACATGCAGCCGCCGCTGCAGGGATTCGATCCCGCGACCAGCGGGTCAGCAGCCGTGTACCAGAATCACGATACGATTGCGAGAAATGGCCTAGTGCGTGGGTTCACATTAATTTTCCCTCCGTTCCTAAACGTGCTCCTAATTTCAAGTGCGCAGGCATATTCTCATTTATGACAGTTTGGAATGTCGCTATGATCCGTAAAAACCACGTCACCACATTAGGCAGGGAAACGCCCGGCTACTTTAGCTGCCGCGTTGAGTTAACTCGAAGCGCATTTATATATATATATATATATATATATATATATATATATATATATATATATATATATATATATATATATATATATATACGCACCTATAACTCGACCACTAACATTAAGGCTGTCTTGATTGTCTCATCTTATAGAGACGAGATAACTGAGAATGGTCTAGTTTGTATGCGGGTGTATAGACCAGTCGGCACCGTCGATGCTTTGCTCCAAAGTTAACGAAAGAACACACAGCTGAAACGTGGACGCGCTAATTTCCAACTGAGCTTTATTTGAACGGGAATCACCGATGCAAAGGAGCCGATACACTAGAAAGCACTCGAGAAAGTATACTTTGTGTGACACGACGCACAAAAAAAAAGGCGCGTTTTAATCAATCTTGCAGCGTCGAGCCAAACTTCTGTACGCACACGCCAAGTAACCTCGCATAAGCCGTGTTATATATTGTCATCACACGGTAGTGAAGCAGCGTAAACAACGGAATTGAAGGAACGGGATTTGTCTGGTCATTCGTGATGTTTGTTTGCTACGCGTGAGGCAGATGCTGATGTAGAATGCCTGCCTTTCCGCAATGCGCAAGTCTGTTCTGGAAGCGGTGGGCCAAGTAGCGCTAAAGAAGCCGACTGCGGGGAAAGTTGCCGCCGGTGGGAAACACCGAACAAAGTGCGGCGAAAGAAAACCGCCGAGAAACCTTAGTGCATGACTTGGCGCGTGGCGATATGATGGGCACCATATCACGCAACAGCGGCGGAACAAGCAGGCTTTTTGATGTGGAAATAATGGCGCGTTGAACGGTGCGATGAGCACATAGGAAGAAAGGAACTGAAGACAGTTTCGATAAAATTGCCCGTGTTTTATTGCTCAATCTTGGGACACCGGTCAAAACTCGTACATGCAAAATGCGCACAGTAAAAAAAATCCTTAAAATAGGGGGCAAGAAGCCCAAACAGGCATGCTATGTACAAGAGTCATATTACATTATCGCCGATGCCATCGCTTCTGGAAAGATCGTGGTTCAGCGAGTTTCGGGGCGGACAGAACGAACACCGAAGAACGTGAACTTCGCCAGCGGTGAGGTAGTAGAGCCCAGGGTTGTGGAAAGCAACCGGACTGGAAGCTTGGTTGTGGAGAGTGGTACTGGGGCAAGGGTACCTGCTGCCGTAGTCGTCACTGGTGGGACCCTGTTCGTTACAGGATCAATGGGAACCACAGTAGACATCCGGGCAAAAGTGGTTCCCGCAGTTGGAGGCAGGGTGGTCCCGGGTAACGGCAACGAAGGGGCATCCGTAGCCACCGGAAGCGAAGTAGTGGCTTCGGGTGGAGACGTAGTCAAGGCACGAGGCTCAACTGGAAGTGTTGAAGGGGGACTGGTGGCGGCGTTTGACTGCTCCTGCAGCGCAAGGCCAGTGGCAGGCACTTTAGATGAAGTAACTAGGAGAGTGAAAGGACCAGCACGTGGATCCAGGGTAACACCGCGACGTGGGGTCTCAATGGAAGCAGTGCTTGGCAAGTGTGTAGTGGTCACTTCAGCAGGCTGAGGATGTTGAGTAGTTACAACCGTGGGGTCAAGAAATGCCGCAGTTGTTTCGACCGAGATTGCCGCAGTTGACGTGGCATCTGCGGGAGTTGTAGCAGGTAGTTCAGACGAGGCTGTGGTAGGCGTGAATGGGATGGCACGGAAGTTGAGCGAATCCGGGGCAGTGGTAGAAGCAGCAAGGGTTGTAATATGCGCGGCGGGAAGAGTAGATGACACGACGGTCGACAAAGTGGACGTGGAAGAGTCGGTCACCGGGAACAGCACAGGGGGTGCGGAGGAGACGTTTGCTGGAGCAGAAGAAGGAACATCAGTAGAAGGAACAGTGGTAGTTGTGACGAGGAAGGTGCCATCGCGGGGAACCGGGCCTCGCAGAGAAGGTGCCGCGGCACCGACGGTAGGAAGGGCTGTCGGAGCGAACGGCGGTACCGTTGTCAGGCGGGAAAGAGTGGTGGCCGAGGAGACTGTGCTTGCGACTGCAGGTGCAGGACTGGGCGTTGTGGGTGCAGAAGTGACTGAAGCCGGACGAGTGGAAATCGAGGCAGGCCCATTAGGTATGTTATCACGTTGTCCGATGACTTGCACTTTCTTCTGGAGGACCAGTGAATGGGGAACAGCAGACTGATGGTGGTGGTTGTGGTGGTGAGCAGCGGCCCCGTTGTCTCCGTGAGTAGTCCGGTTCAGCCAAACTGAAGCGTTCCTCAAGAGGGCCACCACAGGGTTGACGACGGTACCGAAGACGTGACTTATAGAGTGGGCAATATGGCTGCCCACACCATGGGTCCCAGATGAGCTGGAGTCAGACCTCGGCGGCACAGTGGGTACCGGGGTGTTCACGGGAACCTTGACGACGCGGCACATCAGGACTGGGACCGTGTGCACGTTTGATGCAGCGGGCTCAGTAGCGGCACCGGGCTGCACGGGCTGCTGGTGGTTGTGCTGATGCCCATGGACAACTTGGTGCTGGTGACCGCTGGTGGCCTGACCGTGATGCGAATGCCCGTGAGCATGACCGGCGTCAGAACCGTGGTGTGGCGGCAGAACGTGATTGAAATGCCCTTGAGTCTGGGGGGACATGCCGTGGCCATGATGGGCGTGCTGCAGTGCTGGGTGGCTCTGCCCGAAGCCAAAGGTTCGTCCAGCGGAATCTTCGGCCTGAACCACCAGCAGATAAACGGCCAACAGGAAAAGTGACACTGGCTTCATCTTGACCGGGTGAGTGAACCTGGGAACGCGTAACAAGAGAAATGCAATACGGATGAAGGATCACAAGAGTACGCACCAAAATGCAACGAATATAACAGGAGTACCAGGACATAGAGTACACAAGTACAAAAACACATCGTACCTTTCTGCGGCGGTGATCTTACCAGGAGTGACGATCCAGAGGGTTTAGCTTACACGTTTTATAGCTGGTTTGTTGCCACTCTCTCATCGCTTATTGGTCCATGGCAAAGGCGTCGTTGCGTCACATCCCTACATAAAAACGTGCCACGGAAGAATTGAAAAATAAAAGAAGACGACATTTGCTGAACAAGCGCGCAAGAAGTCTCATCAAACGCCTGCGCAGATGTTAGATTGCAGCTATTATGCGCAACTGGGGCGAAGGTGTTCATCAAACACGTCAAGGCAGGTGATTGCACAGACAGGCTGATTGCACAGACAGGCCATTGCATTGATGACAAAGGTATTGTAGTACGCAAAAAGTGGGGGCGTATTCCTAAAAAAGAACACTGTGACGTCAAGCTCATTGTGGCAGTGTGAGATAAAACAGTTAGCACTGGGTCTTTATTCGCTCTTAATTTGATCGATATGTAGAGTATAACGTCCCAAAACTACCGTGTGATTATTAGAGACGCCGTAGTGGAGGGCTGCAGAAATTTTGACCACCTGTGGTTCTTTAACGTGCACCCAAATCTGAGCTCACGGGCCTAAAAAATTTCCGCCTCCATCCGGAAATGCAGCCGCCGCAGCCGGGACTCGATCCCGCGACCTGCGGGTCAGCAGCCGAGTGCGTTAGCCACTCGTTCTTAATTTAGCACGTTTTTGCTACACCTTACAAGACATGACAAATACGATGGGGTCTACTTGAATGAGAGGTTTCAAAAGAGCTAGTGAGATATTGTGAGTTCAAAGTTATAAGCTAAGAATAGGCAATGCCAATCAAGGAGAAAATTAAGTATTGATAACGATGTTCTTACACGTTTTGACTAATTGTTATTGTAATTAGTCTTCTCAAAATTCAGTGAACACTGCACAGATTCCCTCAAGATGAGCTTATTTTTGCCCCGCCGTGGTGGTCTAGTGGCTATGGTACTCGGCTGGTGACCCGCAGGGCGCGGGGTCGAATCCCGGCTGCGGCGGCTGCATTTCCGATGGAGGCGGAAATGTTGTAGGCCCGTGTGCTCAGATTTGGGTGCACGTTAAAGAACCCCAGGTGGTCTAAATTTCCGGAGCCCTCCACTACGGCGTCTCTCATAATCATATAGTGGTTTTGGGACGTTAAACCCCACATATCAATCAATCAAGATGAGCTTTCTATTAAAGCTTCAATATGATAGCAATGACGTCAAAAGGTAAACTTTATGCAAATAAGCAATATTGAAAAAATATACGCTCATATGATTGTAATTAGGGCCGCTGTCACTTTACTGCCGCAGGCGTTCTGTTTATGAGCGACTACAAAATACACCTGAGCACTTAACGCCTATCAGTGAGTGTACATTTTTTAAATATGTAAATATGAGAATATGGGCTGTGTTTTTTGTAAATTTCGGGCTATTCCAACAGCCCGAAATATACAGTAAATTAACAAAGCCGAAAAAAACAAGAAATATTAAAAATGGTTAATGGAAAAATCTATTAAATGTTCTATACATATTTTTTTCTGTTTTACAGTTTGCGTCGTTGCTACCGTTTGATCTTGTACCTGTGAAATTTATTTTGACTGCAGATCACTTTAACTAAGAAAAAAAAAGGTGGCTGTATCGAATAACGGCTGCATTTCAGTTTAAACCGATATAGTAGAGGCCCGTGTAACATAAATTTAGGTGCACGTTACAGAACCACTGATAGTCGAAATATTCGGAGTTTTTCACTACGACCCCTTCATCATCATATCGTGCTTTTGAGGCGCAAAACCCGTACAATTATATTATGAATTAGGTAAAAAATGCGCACATAAAGGAGAAATGATTTGGCCTCCTTTGTATATTCGTTTGCATTTTTATTGAGCTACATGCACGATAACATAATACTACGCAGCATTTCACGCTCGTAAGTGAACGTGCATTTCTGTGGCATGGAATTTGAAATCCCGTGCCGAAAAGATCAACTACAGGCGACGCCGCTAAATGAAAGTACGCTTTAAAACAAAAGAAACGAAACAGAAAGAGAAATAAAAGGCGAGGAAAGCGTTTAGCGATAAAACGCAATGCTCCCGACTTTTTTTTTTTTTTTTTGTCAAGCCATGCAACCTATTCTCGGCACGTATTTCAATACGATGTGTCCGTCCTATTAACTCCTGCATGGCTCTTCCCTTGCAATGCGTCCCCCCCTTTTTTTTGCAACGCATTCTTCGCAACTTCCGTAAAGAATACGATCACGAGTGCCGCAAAAGGCAAGCTGAATGTGTAAGGAAGTGTTTGCCGCAAAGTCGGCCATAACGGGAGCTTGCGGACAAATACCAGACCGAATATTCGAAGAAAGACAGAGGAAAACGGCACCATTTGGCAGCTTTGCGCATTCCTTGCTTTTCCGCACAACCCCGTCGTGAGTAGATTCCTTTTTCGAATATCATGCTCCGCCAGAGAGAATCTTGGTGGCTGTAAAACGTGGTGACATTATTATGCAGCCCACGGGACGACTTAGTAACCATCCCTAGGCCTGTGTCACTCCCTATGTGAACGCTGACATGACAGTTCTGACCTCACATTAAGTTTTTTCTTTCTATTTATTTTTGTGAATTGCAACCTTGTGACAAGTGCGCTGAAAAAAAAAAACAGAAAAACGTGATGTATTAAACGTAAACTTTGGCGACATTGAGCGTATCTATCTATCTATCTATCTATCTATCTATCTATCTATCTATCTATCTATCTATCTATCTATCTATCTATCTATCTATCTATCTATCTATCTATCTATCTATCTATCTATCTATCTATCTATCTATCTATCTATCTATCTATCTATCTATCTATCTATCTATCTATCTATCTATCTATCCGCCTACGACATTTAGCTCTCCTGATCGTCTCAATAATGGTTTCGATACCAAAATTGGTAGGGCGTAACATGACTGTGTGACGAGCATAATTGACTAGTCATAACATGAAAATGATCACATGTATGTCATGAATGGCAGGATATACATATCATGGTCTTGCTGCTTTTGCGGTGGTTTCGTTCACACTTGCAAAACTGGTATGATATGAGATGACCGCACGGCGAACATAAGTGACAGACCCTAATATGGAAATCATAAGATGCATGTCATGATTTTCATGTTATGACTAGTCATGACTACACGCAACGCTCATGGTGTGCTCGCAGTCGTTTCTCTTGCTTCACATATACCACAATCGGTATGACGGGACGTGAATAGAGGACGAAGGTACATGACTTGTGCAAACATGATAATCATGACATGAGTGTCATGAAAGAACATGACAGCATACCACACTCGTGATGGGCTTGCGGCCATTTCGCTAGCTTCACATATACCAAATTTGCTATTTCGTGACGTGAATGGACGACGAAGGTAAATGACATGTCTAAACATGATATTCATGACATGTGTGTCATATAAAACATGACTGCATGCTACGCTCATGGCGTGCTCGTGGCCGTTTCGCTGGCTCCACATATCAAGCCACATGATGCTAATTTTGGTATCACGTGACGTGAATAAACGACGAAGGTAAATGACGCATCCAAACATATATATTCATGGCATGGAAGTCATGTGCGGCATAATTTACGTCCACTTCGTAACGTTGTGCTCACTTTAAACAACATATCAACGTTCCTCATTCCTGCTTCGCACGTCATCGATTCGCACAGTACGTGGAATCTGCCATTTCTTCCCCAATTTATTTTTGCATTATTGTAACGCATTCCAGTTCGCCGAATTTCTCCTCTTTGCTTAAACCACGAGACAGCTCAAAGCTCTTTTATGGTAAAGTACACTATACTCTAAATCACTGAATATTTAATTCCTACACGCGTGTTTTCTTGATTTGATTGGTTTATATGTGTGATTTAACGTCCCAAAACCACCATATGATTATGAGAGATGCCGTACTGGAGGGCTCCGAAAATTTCGACCACCTGGGGTTCTTTAACGCGCACCCAAATCTGAGCACACGGGCTTACAGCATATTCGCCTCCATCGAAAATGCAGCCGCCGCAGGCGGGATTCGATCCCGTGACCTGCGGGGGTCAGCTGCTGAGCAGCTTAGCCACTATGACCACCGCGGCGGGGCCGCGTGTTTTCTTGCAGGGACGTTATCTTCAGTGCGGTGTTGTAAAGAATGTGTTACCTCCACTTTGATGTTTGCCACGAAAGAGTCAATGCAAATCCGGCAACTTGCAGCGCAATGCAACGATAGCCGCTAGCAGAGCTATCGGTCACCGAAATTCTGATGTTTGAAGATTGGAACGGGGCGGCTTTTAGACACGATTTATCGTACACGAGTCAGCATAATCACTGGCGCTAGAGAAAGTTCTAGAATGTATACATTTATAGTTTGCACATGTGTGCTCGATAATATGAGGCGATAGCATACGAGAAATGTAGGCGAGCGCTGCGCAGATCGATAACTTCGACAGTTTGGTTATCAGGGAAAGTGCAGCGGAAGAGCATAACATATGCGCGTAACTGTATGATGAGAGAAGCTCATGAACGCACGTTACGTTACGCTGAATGCCTCGTGAGAAGTTGAATTTGACCGCCCAGTGTCGTCGATCGGTGACACGTGTGAGGCGAAAAATTGAAACGCGTGATTTATACACGCGTTTCAACTACAGTAACAGTATAGCAATACAGTATAACAATAAAGTAACAGTATAGGAGCATGCGCTGCTTCAATATTAAGAAAATATTGGATTTTAATGGTTACTGGGAATACCAGCTTCTGCCAACCTTTAAATTAAAAATCAGCACAGCAAGCATCCTTTCACGCACTTCGGCCACGATATTTATACCAGTCGCGATATTTATAGCGCGAGAACAGAACGACGACACAGAGACAAGAAGGACACGACGGACACCGAGCGCTATTGGCGAAAAATGAGCAATAAACTGCAGAAAAAGTTGGAGGGCACGCATGTCGTCAAAGTATTCAGGTACGTGGATGACTTCTTGGTTCTTCT